TTTAAGTTTTTGAAGTTACCTTTCTTTTTGTTGAAAACCAATTAAAATTTTGCAATTAAATACCTAAATATATATTTTCAATTTTCGTTTAATTTTACATTATTTTAAACGAATAAAAACAAAAAAATTCATCATTATACAAATGTTTCCAACGAATTCCACAAATAAAACAACACATACCTATAATACACGTATAAAAAATTATAACCTATATATTGTGTTTCATTTATGATCCAAGTATAAATATATTATTATCAACTGTTTAAAAATTAATAGTTATATTTGAAGTTTATATTCATATAATAGTTTATAGTATATTTATACTTATATTTTTATTAATCACTTAAAAAATATTGAACAATTTAATTTTTAATATCTAATAATTAAAAATTATTTTGTTAATACATATTTATTGAAACTATAAAAAAACATTTAAACACAATATGCATCTCTTGAGCTCCTATGTTTCATTCAGAATAATTTGATGAATGTGATAAATTTTAGTTTTATTTCACTTTTAATAACAACAACTACAATACTGATTTAAGACAAAGTAAGGTAGCGATATGAATTCCTTTTTCTCAGTAGCTATATCTTTTCTGTATTGTACTCGTATAACAGGAGTCTCCTACTTACGACCCGTCCAGCTTTTCAAACCAGCCCACCAAGTTAGCTGATGAAAATTATTTATCAATAAAATTTACTAATAAAAGAAAATAATAAAACCTTAAAATAAAATAAATGGTTTTTCGTTAATCATTGTCGATTATCCTGTTGATTGCGTTATCTATGTTATCATGTTTAAGGTGATCTTTAATCGAAAATAATATTCATTTTTCTAAAATCAAAAAATATCTTTTTTTATTCTCAATTTCATCATCTCTCTATTCCTTTAAAAAATTTCGCTCGTGATGCCAAAATGTATTTCAGATTTGGCCCTCCGTAAAATAGGTTGGAGACCCTTGTTGTAAACATAGAATTTTATAGCTTTTTATGAAATTAAATTTCATTGATACAGATAAACTTTAATTCAAAGTAATATTATTATTTTGGCGTTTAATATAAACTGTATAGTTTGTCGGCATGCAATAAAACCGGAAACTGGGTAAAATAAGTATATGAGCAGCCGACTTTGAAGTAAATAAAACAGTAATAATGCAGAAAGCTTAAATACACACTGTGAATTCAATACCGCAAACGGTGCAAACTATATTTATTTTCTTTGTTATTATAGTCTGAAATAAAGAGCCTTTATAATAATATGACAAGAATATTATATTATTTTATAATGTTTTTTTTATTTTTTTAAAGTTTTATTAGAAAACTATTAAATTTTAGGTAGGTAATTTATTTTATTGCTATCGGAATTTTTATTTTTTAATGGGCGCATGTAAACTCCGCCACAAGTACGATTTTTTACTGTAAACTTCGCAAGAAAAAAAACAGGTAAAATTGAGTTCATGTAAACTTTGCCATTGAAAAAATCAAATAGTAGTATAAAATTAATATAATATGTTCTTAAAAAAAAAAATTATAGTGTTATATTATCATATCATATCGTTCACATTAAATATTTAAATCATAATAAAGTAATAAATAATTGTTATACCTAATAATGCAAAATATATAGTTATGTCGTGTATGTAAACTAAAATGATATGATACAATTTGTAAATATTCTAAGTCTTGTATTACTTCATTAGTATATATCATCGCAATAGATGTCAACGTATTTAATGTTAGAAGGTACGAGGCAATTTGAGCATTGAGCAGCTAAACAAAAAAAAAAAAAACTGGCAGAGTTTACATTAGATTTTTTATTATCTTTTTATCTTAACCTGTATTCTGGCAGAATTTACAATCGCCCTTTTTAAATATGTGTGTTTTTGTATATTTTGTGATAGTACAAATTATCTTTGTAGTAAAGATCCTCACGCATGATCGTATCTGACCTGTCAACCCATCACTGAGTTCAATGATTATGACGCCGATACGTCCATAAACGGTAACAGACACACTTACAATGATTTTTTTATAAAATTCAGGTTGTTACTCAGTCAGCATAATACCGCAACTGTTCTATGTATGCAAGTTAATCCACTAATTGTGTTAATCCCTATTGTTTAATTAAAAACAAATTTATTCATATTTAGATTTTCGTATTTTGAAAAATGTTTTGCGATTATATTTTCAAATTTTTGATATTTTTCTTTTACTTAAAAAGAGTTTTGTTGCGATACAAACTTCTGTTTTTCAAATGAGTATAGAATTTTTCTTTTTTTTTATTGAAAAATATTTAGTAGGAATTTGTTTTTTTTTAATTGATGAATTCATAGTTAAAAATTCAAAGAATTATTTGTTCAATAGTGAATTTATTAAAATATTTATATTAGGAATAAAATACTAAAATTGGTACCTATATATTTATACAATTTAATAATATTTGAAATATTTATGTAAAATATTCTATTTATAATAAATATTATAATAAAGTTCACTGAACCTTACAGAGTAGTGAGCAAATTCATGTACAGACACTATTTTATTGACATAGTTATACAAAATTACTGGTATTATAATTATTTTTTATTCATTTTTCAAAATTATTAATTTACCATAATAATGACATGATGATCGTTCAATATTATTACCAGCATTTTAATTGCTATTCCATCAAAATTTCATTAAATCCGTAATATTATTATTAATTATAAATGTCATAACTTATAAATGATAACGATTGGCTGTTAAGTATTAATTTAGATGTTCTAATTGAAAAAAAAAAACTTCAGTTATAATTAATATTAATATATTAATATATTAATATGTATTATGTTATATTAATATGTTAGCAAATATTACATACCTACTATAAGGTGAACTTTCATGTTCCAAATTTGTTTAACATACTTCTCCCCTTTATAAAATTGTTTATAAGTAACTATAATAAAAATAAGTAAATAATCGGTTCCGGTCTAAGTATAAGAACTTAAAAATAATTTCTTCTTTTTTTATATCTGGTTTTTATAACTACAATATTTTTAGTCTTGATCATTATTTATCTGTATTTTATCTTCCAAACCTAGATTATATTTCTCCGTTTGCGTAGGTACTTAAGTCTTTCCAAAATAATTATAAACTAAAATAATTTTAAAATAATAATACAATGCTAACTAAACAAATATTATTACAATAGTATTTATAATATATAAGTATATATTTTTTTTTAATTGATCCATTATACTTTTAAACCAACAATTTATACATATATACAAGTTACGATGTATTTTAAATGTTTTGAAAAAATTGAAGTTAGATTTATAATACTCAATTTTAATACAGTGTACTGAATGTGTCCGAATATATACTATGACTACTCGATATCGTACTATAATATTTAAGTTAAAATAAAATACAATATATTTAATCAAACCATTGTCATTTCATGTGCATTTTTCATATAATATGAAGTTTAAAAGATCGGAGTACTGGATAAACATTTTTTGAGTACCTATGTTTTTCTACTCCAATCATTCAAACATAAAATATTTATTTTATAAACTACTCATCCGTAATTTAATTTTTATATCTCCAATTACTTATACATATTCTGCTTAGAATAAAAAATTATAGGTAACAATAATAATTTCATAAATTATTGTTTTTTATACTTAACATTTTATATAAAAAAAAAAAATATTTTTAAAAACGTTAATAGTATTTGAAAAATAAGTGTCTTACATTAAATGGATCACTCAGTTCATAAATTAATGCGAGTAATGAATTACTTTTATTATATTGATAAAATGCTATTAATTATGTTTATTGATGATTACATTATTTTACTAAGTATCAGTTTATTTATTTATTATTCAAGATTACGTCAAAATTCAGAACAGTAGAATTGATTGTAATCAATTTTATTGCAATATTAGTATTAATTATTTATTTAATTTTCAAGTTAATTTTATTAATAAAAAAAAAAAAAAGTAATATTTATATTTGATTCTTAAGAACATTGTAATTTAAAGGTGAATTTTATTAATATTGCCCTAAATACAAATTTTTTAAATACTTATAAGTAATTACGAATAAATAATTTCTTCAAAATTTTATAAATAAAATTTGTATAAATTTAAATATTCCGAATAATATTATGCTTTGGAATATTAAATTAAAAATATATACGTTTTCATTCAAAATAAAATTTTAAATGAATAACTACATTTGAAACATTTAAGCAAATGTAGATATCAACACACAAAAAAAGAATAAAAATTCACTCATTTTATTTTAAGGTTTAAAAAATGTAATATTAAATTAAAATTATTAAACCAAATAATTTATATTTCATCTTTTAACAATTAATATTATGTATTTTTCTGTATATATAACAATTATTTATACATATTATGTTATTATAATTGCTACAACTATAAAATATAGTGTATAATTTTTACAAATTCTAAGTTTGCTGAATAAATTTTCTTAAATTTATTTTATAAGTTTATACTATTATCTATACTTATATCACCAGTTTTAATATGATGAATTATGAAAATCAAAGACAATAAACTTAATATCTTAAAACATATACAGGTTAATTCCCAAAGTATACTCATATACCTATTTGTTATTTTAGAAAAACATGTATTAAAACTTTGATTTTCAGAATTTTTAAGATAGTATTCTAAAAGATCTTATTTCAAAAACTTACATTTATGAAGCCAATAAATTAGAGTTTATTATTTTTATGAAATTTTTGTTAAAAATATCTATTTGCTAATTTACAGTAAAACGGCAATCCTAATTATTTTTATGAATTAGGTTTGAAATGATAGTATTTAAATATTATAGAAAATATAAATCCTTAAAAATTTGACCTTTTAGTATATTAAAATATTCCAAAAATCGGAATTTGAATAATTATATTTTTAGAAAATAAAAGAAGTGAGTATGCTTTCTGAATTTCTTTGTACGGAACAATAACAAATATAATGTTTTAAAATACCAATTAAAGTATATTATTTATTTTTTATACAAGTCGTCTTTGTTTTTCAACATAATATAGTTGATAGAAGGTGGTTCCAAGATAAGCGGTTGTTTCTGGTTCATTTGGATGTAAATCTACGAATATCCTAAAAAATAAATATAATAATTAATAATTTACATACATTTTTAAGTAATTATTTAATGTTAAATTATAGTTTTTGATGTATAAAAAAATATACACATAATATAAAGTATATATAAAATAAAATAAAAACCTTTCACAGTAGTATCGTGATTATTAGAAAATAATAGTAAAAATTCAATAAATTTCAAAAGTATTTTATTTTTTTGGAATTGATTTGAAGTTTTAAACTACAATTTGCATTAGAATTATTTTTATTTTCTTGAATTGACATTCTATTAAATATTATTTTGTTTTATGATTCATGAACTATACAAGCTCTATAATTAACACGTAACTATATCGGTACGCCTTATGTAAACATAATTCAATTCGTGAGAATAAACTATATTATATAGGATGATTTTTTTTATCGTGATACAGATATTTTTTGTTTTTATTCTCTTGAGAATACATACATTTAAAACATAAAAAATATATTACAGTTTGACCAGAAAAATAATATATATTTATTCCTGGGTAATATTGATTGGTTGACGATGAAACTCCTGCAGTAACTTTTCGTAATTTGTTATAAAATTAAAATACAATTAAGTAATCAATATTATGTTAAATCATAGATATAGTTTAAAATATAGAATCTATTTAAAAAAAATTTTAATTTTCATGTTGATTATAAATCGATTAAATTAATCGATACATAATCTTAAATTTAATTTATTATATTGAATAATTGCCGTCTATAATATAGTACACTATTTGATATTCAGTGATCAAAGTTATTTGTAAAAATTGTCTTTTACAGGTTTTCCAATTAATCATTTATAAAATCATAATTTCGTAATTATTTGCAGATGTTTGTGATTTCAACAAATCTTAAAATGTAAAAATTTATTTTAAATGCTAGTAAGAAAAATTGTCTTTATATATTTTTACTATTTATAAATATTTGTGCTAATAACTTATTATGAAAGAAGCTTATATTTTATTTTCAAGTACCTGTTATGAGTAAAAAATTTTTTTTATCGATATTCATACTAAAAAAACTAGAAAATTTCAAATGTTTATAAATAAATAATTTAAAATACTTTTAAATTATATCATATATATAATAAATATAAACATAAAAAACACTAAATGAAAATTTTAAATCAGGAATATCTGTTTTTAGGTTACAAAAAAAAAAATAAAATAGATTTTGGATATAAATTCTTATTTTTTCTAATTACTTTAAAAATTATTAGGAATTTTTACTTTTTTTCGAGGGGACAAAAGTACCATTTAAATTCAATTTTCTTCTCCTAAAAGACATAAGGAACAATAATAGACAAAATAAAATAAAAACATTTATATTTATTATTAATACATTTATCTTTCCCCTTAGAACCTAAAATTGTATCGCTTTGAATTCCTTACCTGTTTTTCGGAATTCCAATAGCTTTATTTACATAGTCAGTCAAAATTCCTATGTGTTGGTTATTAATTTCTGGTGTTATATTCCCAATACATGTTACTTGAATAAATCCGCATGGTTCATTGGAACCACCAAGTGTCATTTTTAGACCCGGGTTTACTGTTGATATGCAATACTATAAATAAGTAATAGTTTACTGTCAATTATATTTTAAAATATTAAATAAATATGATTATAAATTACTTTCATGATTCGTTATATAGGTAAGTAATTAATATAATAGTTATAACATTTTAGTCATTTAAATTTTGTTTATATGTAACTTAAAAAAATAATATAGTAATATTTTAAATTTTAAAAAAAGGAAATATTATTTAAATGAATCATTGTCTTTTTGTCTTAAGCTCAAATACCTATCAATATAATTACTTTCATAATTGATTTTCTTTCAAATTATATAGAGAAATAGAGCTAAACACAATTTTAGTTTTACAACTATAGAGACTATATACTTTTAAAGTGTATGAATAATATAACTCAAATAAAACTATATTGCATAAATGCGTATCCAAAAATGTTAAAAATTAAAAAAGAGGTTGTTATATTATACTTACTGTACGTCTTTTCCCTAGAGTATTAGAAAGAATACTAGTGCATTCGTCTAAAAATTCTTCAGGAATTTTTGAAGCTGGTAAATTTGTGTCTAAACTGAAACGTGGCATTTTGTTATTTTGCAGAACGTATTACACCACTAACAAATAACAATTAATAGAATATTAAACTGTAATTAAATTTGACAGTCATATTTATGTTACTAAAACATTGACATAATTTTTATGTAACTCAATTTTTTTTTTTTTTTTTTTATCAACTGGTAAAGTAATATTATTTTTTTAATGTATATATTATACAATTAAAACAAACCCATAAATAACATATTAAATTAAATAAAAATGTTCTCATTGAAAAAACGGTATTTATTGCATATTATTTATAATCTATCAATTATACGTAATCTACTTTTCTAAATGATTTTTTTTTTTGCATAAGACAAAACTATGATTAATAATGTTATGTCGCAATATCTTACAAGTAATGATATAACATTTTTTTTATTTTTTGCTATTTATTTTATTATTACATCAAATTGTTAAACTTATGTAATGTAAAATATGTGTAATATCTATAATATAAGAACATAAATCATATGTAAAATTGATAATACAAACGTTAAATAGGTTTAAATAAATATATTTTGATTATTTTTGTTAGAAACCATAAATTTTTATTAATTGAAACTTATAAAAAAAATATTTTTTAATTTTTTTTTAGTGTATTAACTTAATCCCTAGTTTTCTACAATATGCATAAAATAATTTGGTTTGTCGATTGTTTACTTTTTTTGTCCGACATATCATTTTTACTTTACTGCATTAATCGATTAACTATGAACTACTTTATATATATTTTTAATAGGTATCCAAAAAGCAAATAGAAAAGTTCAAAAATATTCTATTAATTTACAGAAGGTTAAAAAATATTGTTTAACATTCTTTACAATATATTTTTGATAATGTTACATACATTTCTTCAAGTTCTTTCAGTAAAGTAGGTTTCATTTCTAAGTAGACCTCAGTAAACTCGGTGGTAACTTCAGTTTCAATACTCAACGATTTTTCCCTTAAGAAGTTTAAGGTTTTTACCTAAGAAAATGAAAAAAAATATAACAAAAGTTGGCTTTTTGTGGGTTTGTCGAGAAACAGAAACATTCGAAAGTGAAATTGAAGTTATCAACAAGTAACCAACTAGGTAGAAACTAAAGAATTTAAAGAAATTTGGACCAACAACGAAGGTTATGTGAAAATTTTTTTTTTGTTTTCCTTTAAATTAATGTATTATTATTATTTTTTTCAATTTTGTTGATATTTTATTATTGCTGGTATAGAGGAACTCGCTCTGTTTAAATATCCTTTATGAAACAAATCAATTCATTTTTTGTTTTTTAAATTTAACAGTAATCAGTATTTGATTGTTAATTATTTAAAAAATGTAAATGGATAACTTAAATAAATAATTCATGTAAAATTATTTTTTTACATAATAAAGATAATCTAGAAAAAAAATTTAAATTGTTTTAGTGAGAAAATAATATTTTCAATAAATCTAATAAATAATGAATTATTTGTAAAAAATATTATAAATTATTTATAAATAAGTAGGTAAACAGTAAATAATTTTACAAGCCTCAATGTATAAACATATATTTCTTAGTAAATAAGCCCAAGTTTATTTTGATATTATTTAAAACATCATATTGAAAAGTATTGTTATATTTTAAAAATAATTTCGTAACAATTTTAAAATAATGATTAAGTTTTTAATACAAAAATATTTATTTATAATAGTTTATACTTACAAGTTTGTTTTTAGAGTTTCGGTAAATATTTGTGTTAGTAATATTAATATTTATTTGTACATAAAATTGCAATTAGAAGGTTTTCTAATTGCAATTTTAATAATATTATATAAGTATCCCATGTTTTTTTCTATTAACCTTAAATGGTTAGCAACTTATTCAAATTAATAATCGTTACCTAGTACGTATCTTAGAAATTAATTATTGTAAAGATTAAAGAAAGATTAAAATTAATATCAGATGATTATGTTACATGTTAATCATGGTAGTTATGCCTTTAACATACGTTTCATACCTTTAACTATCGTGCAAAATGGTATATTAATTCAAATATTTAAAATGTATAAACTTTAACAATAGAGCTGTAGCGGAAGTTTATGCTAACTAATAATTATAGATAAGAAACTTTTGTGCTTTACCATCTAACGTATCTTAAGTTTAAAACAATATAATCAGTAAAGTGTCTATGCCAATATTTTATTTATACAATACATAACTTTATAAGAGTATTTGAATCATTAAAATATAAAAATAGAACTAAAACTTTAATATTTTAAGTCTTAAATTTAAAATCAAACTTAAAATTTAATCACGTTATAAAAAATAATAATATAGGTACGGTGCGTATTTAATAGGTAGTTGGTAAAAAAAACCATAGAAAAAATCTAACGGAAATCTACAAATTAATAAAAGCCTATGTATGTTACATTGGTACTATAAGTCTATCATTTAAAATTAATATGTGACATCACAATATCTAAAAATTATAGCCATGGTGGAAAATAAATGAAAGAAAAAAGTAAAATATGGAAGTAAATATAATATTATGTAACATTTATTTACCAAATTAATTCTATTAAAAATATCTAGAAAATATAATAAAATTTTTATCCAAACCTTTTATATAATTACAGTATACTTCGACAAACACAAAGTTAAACGGGCATTAGATAAAACGGAAAATAAAGATACAAGATTAAAATATTTCAGAAAATGACAGCTATATTCTTCTCAATAACTCCAAAATAATCGGATAAAATTATCAAACGGTATTTTCACATTGTGTTTAACAAATGTTTCTCTTGTCCAAATATTTAATTGGATTGTATTATCCAAAATTATATATATATGAAAAGCTGTGATAAATTCTCCATAATTTTATCATTTATATCTCAATACATTGATAGTAATATTGTTCCTGTTAAGAGAGTTAGAATTTATAAGGCCCAAACTAGACACTTTTTTTATAGAACTTTCAAAACTAGAATAACCATTATCAGAAATAATAAATATAGAAAATATGGTTTAAAAAGTTCATGGACATAGATAAAACCGAAATCAAAAACTAGTTTTTGATTAAATCGACTATTTTTTCTGTGCCAGAATTTTTATTATTTTGAAAGATAACCTATTAACACATGTAATTAATTTACTATTGAAATCAGTGATAAATTAATCTTCGTTATTTGAGGACATTATAATTCATAACTTTTAAATTTAAATTTTTACCCAAAATAAAATTCTTTAGAGATAATTTATACAAAGTTAAACACTAAAATGAAAACAAACACCTAATAAATATATGAATGATAATTTTTGTTTTTGTATTTGACTACTAATGTAACAAATTATTAATTTTCTATTTTAAACTATATCAAATTAATTGTAATTAGACAAATAAAATTATTAAATGTATCCAGTATTTTGACTGACAGTTTCATCTCAACATTTAAAACCATTTACAAAAATATTTAAATATATATTTAATGAAGTCAATATAAATGAATATACGTAGATGTAGATTCATTGAAATATATTGAGCAAATGTGTATTTTGTAAAAAAAAAAAATATTGTTTTATGATAAATTGATAAATATAGTTTTGTTTGTGTGTTTGTGTTACAATCTTTTTTTTTATGTATAATTTTCGGCAGTGTTCATATGTCAATAAATAAATTATTGAATATAGAATTATGTGAATAATTAAATTAAATTCACTTTATTTCATATTAACTATAAAAAAAAATACAGATTATGTACTACAGTAATAACAGGTATTATTTAAATACCTAGTCGGATATTTAAGTATTCGATCAAACAGTTTATTATGCGAAATTTAAATTAATGGTGTTGAATGACACCCGCTATTACTACCTTAATAGTTGTCTGAAAATGTTATTTCAAAATTATAAAAACATTATTCAATGAAAATAACATCCATATATGCATTTGGTAATATATACGTTATAGATTATTTTATTTAAAATGATATTTATAAGGTAAGTCGAAAATGCAGTCAACTGACTACATAACTTTACTAAGTTATTGATCCCCAAATTTAAAAAAAATATTGTATTAATAACATTATTTATTGAAGTACAAAATATGTTTCGAAAGTAATTATTATAACTATGGTTACCTACTGATTGGCAATAAAATAAATACTCATCAGTCATCATGTGTCCGAGCAAAGTGTTGTGACAATATAAGGTAAAATATACGTGATTAAGATAATAACTAATAATATACAAAATCCACGTAAATAACTTGCCTGCAGCAAGTAGAATAAAACATATTCGTCTGTCGATAAAAATAAAAACCTTACCTAATTAATAATTATAAAACAATCAAAATAATAATGTCCTATAATGCCGTTGTACACACTTCATTGAAATACTACAGTATGAAGTAAATTTGAGTTCTCTGAAGACAATTAAAATTCATTTAGGGTGTTTAATATTTCCTATAAATCACCCAAACATTATTTTCTTGTTCTGAATACATTAGTTATTCCTGATAAGACAAACATGCAATTTCTTATCACTTATTGGAAGCAAATTTAATGTACTATATTATGTACATGTGATTAAATTATTTTATCGTTCCAACGCTCTGATAAGCTATATAATTAATTATATTATATTGTCCAACACAATTTATTTTATTCTAGAGATCGCGTGTAATAAGGATTATCTATTAAATAAAAATTAGCTTGTATTATAATGAATAACTAATTGTTCTTAATTTTCCCAGTTATAAACTTCGCTTGAGTAAACTTTATTTATTTGCTCTATACTTTGGAGAAAATCAATTAAATAATGTTTAAATATTCTAGTGCTGTCAAGTTAATAATAAGTCGATATTTTAAATTCTGGGCTAAGGTTTTACAATAATAAAATGAATTTATTTTGTATCTTACGTGTCATTTTGGAGCATAGAATTTGATTTTACATTAAATTTTGAAGGTAGTTTCTAGTATTAAAATTAGTTGGTACTTTGGATAAACAACGTTAGAAACATAAAATATTTTACTTAAAAATTGTTAACAACTAAGAAAATCAGCAGAGAAACTGAAATATTTTCAGAACACAGGTTTACGACAAAATGTTTTAGATTCTGAGCGGAGTATTACATGTTTTTGATATTACAAATATATATTTTGTTTTTTTTTTTATGTGCGTATGTTGCTCTGTACACGATAAGTAGACGAAAAAATATTTTATTTTCATCATTGAGAGTTATTTTGTTTAGCAAATTTAATTTAGTTTATACTTTAGAGGTCAAAACTAAATTTCCCAGTATTTTTTTTCTAATCGAAAAAAACAAACATTTATTTTTTTATTTTAATACGTCATATATTTATGCTATGAATCTAATTTTACTGTTTTATAGTATTTACAAAAATTTATTTTAAGTCATATAAGTTAATATAATATGGTATAAATTTATATTATTGTAATAATTAAATACTAATAATATAATAAATATAATATTTTCGGATAAATATTATATAATAAACTACTATAAAGAAATACTTAAAGTAAAATAAAGAACTTAAATAGCTACAGTAATAATACATATGACTTGGTGATATACGTTGATAAACCATTACAGCTAAAAATCGTTTTTCGTATTTAATGACGTATCATTGAATTCAAATTAAACACACCCATAATATTGAACTACTAAAACACACCTAATGTGTCAAAGATCAGTACCCACTTGCTTACCTTTTTTACATTTATGTTAAATTTCATAAAAAAATAACAGTGGGGATTTAAAATTTTCACCAAATATTTATTCCAGTATTTTTTAGAAATAATATAAATTTATTAATATTTTTACTCTCTTTATCTTTAGATTAGGTTGGATTAAAATTGTCGATTAAGTTTTTTTTTTCAATTTATGCTCGTACAATTTTTGAAAGATAACCTTAAAAATATAGTACACAGTTTCTTGTGAGTTTTTCTTACGACAGTCAAGAATTAAAAATATTAAAAATACATGGTAAAATTTTTATTATTTTGACCTTTCAAACAACATTTTGTTCGAAAGTAACCAACATCATGGTTAATAAATTGTAGTTTTTTTTTTTTTGTTTTGTTTTTTTTTTTATACTTAAATTTTAAAACATTCACCATTATTAAATAGTAAAAACAAAATTAAGAAATAATATTTTGACATAATTTACAATTAAATTTACCAAGTTGAAAAACAATATTTTATTATGATATTAATACATATATTTTTTTATTATTATTTAAATTTGTGTTTCTCATCATACGCAATTTTCATTCGATAGACTTGACATACTAGCTTGGTCCAACTGCATTAATAATACCTGATACTTGCCCCGGCATTCACCATAGCGTTTGACCAATAACTCAAGTTGATCATGCTTGCCAGATATACCGTTTAAGTCTTTTATGAGCGTTTTTAGGAGATTAATGAGTGTTAACAACGCATAGTGAAACTTAAAATTGGTGGCCAATGGTCCACATAGCCATCGGTGGTATAAACTACACACGTCATCTGTTAAGCTCTTTGTGTTGGATCTGATTACTAATTTAAGCTCCATACATACGCATGGTTTGATTTTGCAGATTTCAGAAAAATTCTAAAGTAATGAACATTTAACATTTAATAATTTATAAATTTATTCCTATAGTAGTAATATTTTGCATTTCAACAAATATTTTGATAATGGATCACTAAATAAATAAAAATATGTGTATAAACTGCTTAAAATATAAATTAATTTAAAATTATCCATCAATTAACAGATTAACCGAAATTATATTGATGCACATTTTACATAATAATAATTCAATTAACTACCTAGTGTTTGTTAACAATAACACTAATGTGTTGTTTGGATAATCTATATGAAATATATCGAACCAAACTCATATATGAATTAATTATTGATGAGTTTAACAAAATAGTGTTATGAAGGAATGTATAAATATTATAATTCCTAGTAAATTAAGTCTATGTATTAATTCAAGCATAGTTTACTTAAACAAACATAAAATTCATATTATAGCTTTGTTATCATATACGTAAATATATTATGAAATATTCGTAATAGAGAAAAGTATTTTAATACATAAGTTTTTTTATTTAAAAATATCTAAAGGTAATTTTTATATTTCTTTACAATATTTTATAAAAAGTTTTTTTAGAGTCGATTTTAGATATTCAAATGGGAAGCTAAACTTTTTTTACAATAATTGTAACGTGAAAAAAATTTTTGGTGTTTTTCGAAACATAAAAATCTAAATTTGGAAAAGTAGTTTATAAATTAAATATTTTTAAAATTTACATGAGCGGACTATTAATGTAATGGAAATATCCAGTAAAATATTAAAATTCCCGATATTTATAAATCAAAAAAACTTTCATATTAAACATTTTTCTCTATTATGAATATGTGTATGATAAAATGGCTGTAACATACATTTTAAATCACCTAGCTATGTATTATAAATGAATCTTTCTTTCTTTGTCCTTAACATAACTGAATTATTTGAACTATTGAACCGTTTTAAATAAAAAATATATCAATAGATTTATTGAGACTTGGATTAGATTTTTAGCTTCATTTTTCATTCCATATGGATTATAAAATGGTTCATACATGAATTTTACTTCGGCTCACGAAAATAAAATATTATTTTTTTTTAGATCATCGATTACATAAAATAAAAAAGTTATTATGAGTGGATATAATTTTCTGTATTATATAATATTTAGTAATTTATATTAATATCGTTATTCAATATATATATATATATATATTTGAAATTAAAAAATAGCTATTTAATAATCTTATATTATCAAATAATATTTATAAAGCAAAGTATTTGATTGAGGTGTATATATTAAAAAAATACTAGACCTATTTTGACCATCAAAAGTTGTGAATACTTCGTCTGAAGTAAAACGAAAACGATATATAAATAATTGGATTATACAAATATTATTAGTCGAGTTCTATCTCATGAAAATTATATAAATATATAAATTTTGACAATTTCATACCCAACTAATAAAAAGTATAAGTCTTTATGTATAGAAGGTATATTAAAAACATATAAAATGAAAAAATACTTGACCAATTATGACAATTCCAAGAAGATTTAAAAAAAAATATTAAACTAGCTAATTAAGAGTGATTTATCTACTATCAATAATATTAACAACACAACCGTATATTCGAGTATTTCTACTTACAATTGGTTACACGTTAGAAAAAAAAAATTACTTCATACTAATCATCACAGAAGGATTGCCCATCCCGGTTTTATTGGTTCACAGTAAATGCTGGGTAATACAATTAATATAATATACAATATACACATAAAAATTCAGTAAAACCTCGATAAGTCGAACTTTGATGAATCGGAAACCTCGATAAGTCGAAATAAATACTATTTCCTTGCAAGAATCTCAATTACTTGAAAAAAAAACTATAGACAACTCAAACATACTATATTCCGAATATAGACGGATACTGAAGGATAATTTTTATAGTCATTTGTCTAATCGGCTTATATATATATATATATCGATAATCTAACCTAATCTCGTTTTTCATTCGGTTTATGGTGACTACATTCAATATTGTTAGTTGCAAATGTACGATCGATCAATTACAGTGTAGTAAAGGTATAATACCTATAGTAATTTAAAAATACTTACTATTTAATCACAATATCTTTCATTATAATTTTAAAATAATAATATTAAAAATACATACTCTAATTATATGTACATATAAATATATGTGTATACTGTATGCTATAAAATAGTTAAAAACTATAATATGTACATATATTTTAAAAACTTTTTTAATTTGAATTTTTTCCTAAAACCTTAATAACTCGTAACTTAATAAATCAAAAACTTTTGTAAATCGAAAAATTGCATTTTCCTTGAATTTTTACTTATTGAAGTTCCACTATATTATTATAACAAGATGTATTTGATAAGCAATTAGGTATATTTATATTAATATTTAATAGTTGTATTCTCTTTTTCGAGATTTTTTTTTTTTGTTTTTGATTTCAAAATAAATCACGAATATACTACTAATTTCTATTCATAGCTACTAATCTTCTCATTTAGCTTATTATTGTAATTTAATACATTTTAAAATGATGATAAATCATTACTCATTATAGTTATGTACAAAATAATATTTTAATTAAGCGTGATTTATAGTAGTAGATTTGTTGATACAATGTTTATCAAAATATTGTAAATGTATTCAATTAAAAAAAAAAATATACAATTTAAGTATGTATAATATTTATTTTTTAAATTAAAGTAGTACTTGCATCCTATTTATCGAAAAATAAAAAAGGCATTTGATTATTTTAGTGAGAAAGACACGAGTAACAACATAAAATTGACTTAACGACATACTACACTACAAACATTTTTTTATGATTTTCTTTCTGTCGAAAAGTAGTGTCAAAAATATTTACAGGTTATTAATTAACATATTAAATAAATTACTTATGATAATCTTTGCAAATCTAGTCTAAACTTGATATGTACATATCAATTGGATTCAACAAAATCAATAATTTACATTGGCAATTATATTTAGTTTCACACTGAAACAAGACAAAACTAACTGTTAATGTGACGCATAGTCTCGTAGTTGTTTAATTGTTACAACCCACCAAACTGGACCAAGTAACTGTTCATCCTAATTAATTGTGACACAACAACATTAGTAACCTCTAAAGTAATTAAAATATCACAGTTATCCATTAGTACGAAACATGTGTTACCTTTTATGGACTACAAAAGATTGCATTGGTTACCTAGGAACCATCCAACATTAATTCAGCTGTATACTATAGAGTGGCAGTGTAAGAGGAGGGTTACTCTTTTGTAATTATATGAGTTAGATCCTTATAGTTTGTACTCATAGAGACGGTATTCATGTCTACTAAATATTATTGTTTGTAGAATAATTTGTGTCATCAAAAAAAAAAATAAAAAAAAGTATAAAAGCTTGAGCAAAAAGAACTAAAAAAAAATTTTAGCCTAATAAATTACAATGAACAATAACAATACAGTATTTATAAAAAGACTACAACGAAAAAACTAAATGAAGAAAGGACAGCAAATATTTGTGTTTAAACTACCTATGACCAGCTATACCTGTTTTACATTGTTGCATTTTTTTTTTTTTTTTTAAGTGTCTTATACATAAACGAGGGCTATATTGATTTTACAATTATGTGTATTTTTTTTCAGTCAACAATTTTCTGTACTATAAAAATAATCAACAAGTTTCATTTACCTAACCTAAGCCTTTAGTAATCTCAAAAAATAATGAAAAATTCAAAATAAATTACTTCAACTATAATATAGTTATTTTTTTCTAATCGTATATGTATATTTTAACACTATTATTTATTTCCATTACCTTACATACGTCTAAGTTAGTAGTAGTTTAATATTACAAATGTACGTAGCATAGTTATTTGTTATATTGATACATTAGCTGAACAAATATAATAACAATAACAAAAATATTAGATTTATAACAATTAAAAAAATAACTTTAATTCCAAAAGAATGAAAACATAAAATCAATATAAACAAGTTTCATATAAGATTAAGGGAATGTATAGCATATATTGTTTAATTAAGATATAATAAAAATGTTCTATTAGTAAACCATAATATAAGGAGTGAATGAAAACAATTATAGAACTAATCACATTTTATAAAAAATGCTGATGAATATTTAAATTTTGTGGTTTTTAATTAAGTTTTATAATTATTTTGTAAAAATATGGATGAACAGTATGTCCGGGTTTTATAATAAAGATAACGTGTTAAGATAAAATTAAACGATAATACCTTCACGAAGACACTGGATAAGGTTAGGTTAAGGTAACCAACAGTAAACATTTAAGTATTTAAAATAGTCGTTAATTATATTAAATAATCAATATTGACATGTGTAAACATAATATTGTGATTGCCACTGAACATTAGACAATTTCAAATTCCATATATATATAGTATTGTAAATAATATGTACCTACATATTATATTGAATTTGAAAAAGATTGTTTTTTAGTAATTTAAATTTAAACTTTAGTTTAGGTAGCCACATTTTGTTACATATTTCAATATTTGTACAACTGTCAGAACTTGACAGTTCTTCAATATTTTCAAGTATAATGTAAAAGTATATTTTAAGAAAATTAAATTTTCATTACTAAAATCTTAAAAATAACATTTATTGACTATTTCTTAATTTTGACACACTAACAACTTTTAGAAAAACAACAAATACTTTATTTAAATTTTAAATATAAAAAAAAACTAATTCTTTTTCTTAAAAGTGAGGCTTAAATTATAACTTTTTTAAATAATTTGCTTTCCCGTTTCAAAATAACAACCACTTATAACGTCAGATATAAATAATGTATAATTTCCAGTGTTTTCAAAAATAACTCGTTTATACAAAATCATGTTCAAAACGGTGTGAATATATTAAAATATTTGTAAAACTAAATTTTTTCAATATAAAATAGATAAAATATTGATGTACTTTGTTTTAAATGAAAACTAATTTTAAAACGTACAACTGTTTTATACATATAATTTTAACTTAATTTAAGCAAAGAAAAAAACATTAATCTAAAATAGGTATTTATTTCAGAAATTCACAATAGAATTCTCCCTACTACTATATTTGTAAATATAACTTTGTTTTAAAAATAAATAATTTAACAAAGTTATATTAAACAATGTGTTATGGATGTAAATACATATCTGTGAATAAAAATATTTTGTTGAAAAGTTTATATTATTAAATCATATTACTTTGTGAACACATAAATTATATTCATACAAAATCCATATTGTATTTAACATTTCAGTTAGCATGAATGGAAATTTCCAAATGAGAGTCGAACTATATAGAGATGACACTAGAATGCTTTCATTGTTTTCCGTAATCATTTTATTTCACAATCAACCACCAATACAAGTATTATATTCCCCTACGCTATGCTGTCATATTTTACAAATCGTATGATAACTGATATAATACGTCTATGAACGGTCTTATTTATTAATAACAATAATTAATGCTTATCGTATAATGCAAAAAAATAAAAAATAAAACAATTCGTAAAGCTTTTATAAAATTTGAAAAATGAACTAAATGAAATGTCGACTATATTGAAATTAATTTTTGTGCGAAAAAAATTGTTTGTAATATTATTTTTATCCAACATATTTATGTTCATTTTCCTATGACAATAGCAATATTTATCAAAACCTCAAAATCATATTTATTGTATATTTAATCTACACTAAAGTGAAACCCATAATTTACATATATTACCATGATGGAATTCTATTACTCGAAAATTATTCACGAATTCAGTTCTAATTCAGTTTATTTTAAAGCATGTTAAATTACAATAATTTGGTTTACCTTATATTTTACTTTTTATACCTAGCTAAATAAATACATAATATTTATGTCTCAATATCAGTCACATTAATAAAAATAAAAAAATGTTTCAAGTCTTGATTAAAAAGGTATCACTACGAATTTAAATAAAACTTAATCAGACATGCAGGCACGTATCGGATCAGTTTTTTTCTACCGGAAAACTATATGTTATTAAGGCTCACTTAGTTATAATTAAGGGTTCCGTACATATCATATAATATTTCTATAACATTAGCAAAGTTATCTACCTAATTATTACACTACATCGTAATACCTACAACTATCTATTAAAGAACCATCTTTCTGAAAATAAAAAACATTGTTTTTAAGTATTTTTTTGTCAAGTAAATAATAATCGCAATCTAAATTTTTATATTAGTTAAAAATGAAAAAAATACAAATATAAATACAAAATAAAACAGCGTGATTTACAATTGCTAACGCCAAATGCTATGAATACCATACCTATTACTATCTATAATATCAACCAGTCAGCAAAAATTTATACTATATCTATTTTTTGATAAACACCCGTATTAAGGTTTACATAATCTTAGAATAATTATTCTGTAAATAATTATTATATCATCATTTTTAAAAAGTTTTACTCATTTTAATAATAAATTGCATTCTTAGCTCTTAATTCCAAAGCAAAATACTTTTTGGAGAACTTTGATAAATTAAAATCAATTTTGGATAAGTAGTTTTTAATTTATATAAAATATATGTGTGTATTTTAAGTTTTGATGAGTGTAATAATAGTGCAGGTATAAGGTAGGTTAACCCGCAAAATGTTGGTTCACTATTCAGTTTATAAAAATTTTAATTAATTAATACTATAAACGAAAAAAAATATAATTAACGGACTAAGATAGATTAAGAGAGTGAAATTATAATATTTTTTTTAATATAATATGTTTTCTGACACTTGTTTTTTTTTTAAATCGTAACAATTGCCTAGTGCCAAAAAAAAAAACTGGAAAGGTCATAATAAGCTACTTGTCTGAAGTTTAATTTATTTATATCGAAATATTCCAAATAATATTCCGTTTCAGAATATAAAATTAAAAATGTATGTTTCCTTGAATAAGGTAAAAAACTTGAAAAATTTAACGATAAAAATAGTAAAAATACAATTTTTTTCTAAAAATGTTGTTTTGTAACTATTTAAAAAAAAGTTGAGTTTTCTAAGGTAATTATTATCTTGTGTTATATGCATTGCACCCCATACTTTATAATATTACTTATTAGGTAGGTGGCAATATTAGGTATTTACAATAAAATTTTCAAATTCTTTTAATTAGGTACTTACTGATTTTTTAACAGAGCGTTCTTTACATTTTTTCCCAGTAATATTTTTTTTAGGACGCTGCAAAGATTGATCGACCCATTGTATTGTATTTTGTATCGCTTCTGGTGAAATAGACGATTGATCTGGCATTTGGTTATTTTGGTTTTCGACTGATTCCCACCAACAGTCTAATGACGGTCGACGAGCATCCCATGAATTTCGATTGTTCTTATTCATAATATTGTATAATAATATATTGCTAAATATATGTCACAAGTACCTTTAGAGTAACATTACTTTAAGTTGGGACAATGCGCCGGTGGGCTATTAATTTATAGAATTAATATTCGTAATTGTTTCATAACTTCTGTAAATTTTTGTAGAATGATATTATTCAACATTGTTGACAAAAACCATGAGAATAACAATAATATAGTTAGTATTATAAATACGAAATAAATAATCTTAATGATATTCTGTCCTAACAACAATCGATATTTGAACCAGTATTTTAAGTCAATGATAGACACATCATAAAAATTATTACTGTAATTGCTAATATCAAAAAAACTTACAGTAGATACAATTGTCGCCAGTAAACGATTTTTTTAGGTTTACACTATTGATATTTAATTTATAAGCTGCGTAGTTTTATCAGCTAAATAATTTATTTTTAATATTGCTGTACATTTTATATTATCTTTGATCAATATTTTGAAGTAGAGTTTTCGACTTTTGTTTTACAACGATGATCAATATTTTTATTTCAAATATTTAATTTTTATCTCATCGATTTATGTAGAACGGGTATTTTAAGCGTATTTTATAGACCAGGGGTTACCAAATGGCACCTCACGAACAAATTTTATCTAACTTGCAGATAAAGAATAAGTTTTTCAAATATTTGTAATACCACTAAACAATTTTCCATTTATATTTTATTTATAATTAGTTTTAATTTTAATTTTTTCAAATATTTGTAATAGTTATTATCTCCTTACAAACAATAGAAAATAATAAACAAAAAAATAATGTTCTGATTACATCCAATTTTAAAATAATACTTATTATATTTTAAAAATATATACTTCGAATTTGTATGGCCCGCAAAATATTTTCAGATTCTTAATAATATGCCCTTTCAAAAATATTAATTGGTGACCCCTGGTATAGACCATCTATATAAATTTAAAATCGATTATAAATTATAGTTAACAGTAAACGACATTTATTTCCGTTTCTCAGTAGTTTAAGAAGAAAATAAAAGATGAAAAATGTATACAAAGCGCTCGTTTTTTCAAACAACTTAATAGTAGTATGGTAGACTATATTTTGTTTAGAATCATTTTCAAAACGGAACGATTTATCATTATTTTTAAATTTAAAATAATAATACACAATACTGGCGTGAGTTCTAAGCCTTCGTCACATGACTTCATTTTTACGATTGATAATCTTATTTTATAAACTAATAATAATATATAGTAGCAGCTTGTGATAAAATATTTAATGTTCAACATAATAGTAATGGTATGCTTTTATAAAAATAACGAGTAGATTGATGTGAATAAACGTAAATTTTTTAATACCAGAATATGGCAAAAATACGATTATAATAATATACTGTATAAATCTTATTTTAACTTACACTATCTCAATATTCGATCATTATAAATAATATTAATAATCAGCCTATAATATTGGTATTTTGTGTATTATATCATTTGAACACTTTATAGAATAAATGCGTTTGTTTAAGTTTTTATTAATCAGAAATATTAGGAATATTATATTGACTTAAATGTTATTTTTACTTTGATAATTTTGTATAATTTTAATTTTTAACTCTGCTGTTTTTCAGTTTTTATTTTTAATTCAGCTCTTAAGCTTAACACATTTAATTCATTCAAAATCATTTGTAAATGTTTAATTTTATTAAAAGCTTTCTTAGTTTATTTACGATTTCTTCACATCACTTTTATCACTTAAAAGAGAAAACTGTTTTTACTGGATTGAAATAAATATATTTTTTTAAAAGCTAGAAAGCTTTTTACATTTGATTCTGTTATAAATTTTAAATATCCTACAGTGTAGTTTTCCACATTCACGAAGTATTATGTGGTATCGTCTATTCATTATTGTCTAAAAATATAATCTGCAGCTATAGAGGTATTTGATTATTCGTTTTTCAGTAATTTACAATTGAAAATAAAATAACTTATTACATAGATTTTAAATATAAATATGAAAATTCAATTTATCGAAATATGAAGTAGTTAATAAATACTTTATTATTATATTTAGTATTATTTTTAAATTCTGAAGTAAGCGTTTGGCTATTGTTTTTTTTTTTTATATAATGTTCTTTCTTTTGACGTTGTTTTGTAGCAAGGATTAAGCTTTAAAAGTTTCATATATAAAAAATATAATGTAGTTGGTAGTTTTTACTAAAATTTCAAAAAAAATATTATAAATCTTTATGTTTCAGTGTATCATCCTATATTATTACTCGAACGTCTCTTAAGTACTAATATTTATGAACGTCAGTTAAACATATATATAGGACCCTTGGGTCCTAATTAACCTCAAAGACAATGAATTATTGTTAAACAGAGAAATTCAAACACAGAGTTAGTGAGAGGGACATATGAAACTTAAATTTATAGCAATCACACACAAATGGGTCCTCGGTCATCAGTATTGATTCCACGTAACATTAACAATAATAATAATTCTTGACAGATGAAATAATATATAGAACCAATATTTCTTTAATAACATCAATATTATTCACCATATATTAAAGTTGTTTTGACGGTTTAATCCATTGAAGGTTGCTTGTAAAAAAGTTACTTATATATAATACAACCATTATAATCTTACCATTTAACATCGGAATTAAAATAAAGAGAATAGCGAAAAATATCCAAAGAAAGAAACAAGTACATATAAAATAAAGTAATATGAAATCAAAAAACACAACAAATATCATTGTTGGATAGTTTATTATTACATATTGGTATAGAATTACATTATTACAAAGTCTTCCAATTGCAACAAAAGTTCGATATAATTCTTCTTTGGACCTAGATAAGACCGTAGAAAAATATTTTTTTTAGAACTTTCTCTCTGTATTTTTCAGAAAAATGTTAAAAACTACAGAAAAAGGGCAAAACTCACATTAAAACCATAATAACTCTGCAGTGTCTAGTATGGAATAGGTCTCAAGCATTTTGTAATTCAAAGACTAAAGTCATAGCTCTGACCATTGTAACAATACTCACGTACATCGACCCTTACACGAAAATATTTACTATTCATTCTTACACACAGTCATGTATAAAATAATTTTAGTTTCATTTTCTAAGATCATTACCACCCATTCAATATGAACAAGTATTATTAATGTTATATATAAAACTGTCATAAATCCCCTATTTACTATTTTGATAAAAATATATTTTATTTTATTTAAACTTAAAATATACTTTTTTATGGATAAATAGAAAAATAATAACCACGATGATACCAATCTAAACACACTACGCATAATTCATGAAGTATTTGTAGACAAGCAATCTACCACAATACTTCAATATTTTCCCCGAAAATTGAACTATATTAAATCAATTTTAGTTACTAAATAAACTTTATTCTGTTGTAAATCATTCTTACTAAATTCTTAAATAAACTTAAAAATGCGTATAATGTATAGTCCATCCTAGAAAGGATGGTTGAACTTGGAATGCATGAGTCCGATTATTTTAAGGTATGTTAAAATTAATTTGTAATTTCTGAAACTTTGATAGGTATATTTATTTTATATTAAATAATATTCTGTCAAATTATAATATACCTGTTATTTTATTTTTTTATTCATATAATATTATACAAAAAAAAACTAAAAACACATTGTAATCAAAATTCTTATTATTTTTGACGTTTCATAATTTTATAAATTTTATAATTGAAAGTTTTATATAGTGCTTGAAAAAAAAGTTAGTACAGGAACTCTAAATTTAATGTGATAGAATGGGGGGAAGTTGAACTCAACAACTCGTATGTAACTACTAAAAATTAATTATTTTCATTTTTAAGCGTACCTTAAAAATATAAAAAAAAATATTTAATAAATTTTAAATTATATTTTATATTTATATTTATTATAAAGCAAGAGTTAATAAATAAGTATATGTTTATTTTAAGAAATAAATAAAAGTAATTAATTTAAAAACCTATATTTCTTATAAAAAACTTCTTATAAGCTTAGGTTATGTTCGAGTAGTAGAGTTATATGTATATTGTATACTTATATTTTATACATTTTATAATAATGTCTTATTAGATTACAAAAATGATACAATCGTACAAAATAATAAAACCATACTTAGAAACTTAACAACCAAAATAAAATAAAACATAATAAACTGTAAAATAATTTATTTTATATCATGTCATACCGTAATAATAAAACAATACAGTATAAATATACCAATAGGTATTAAAAAGCTTCATAACCATAATACACAACTGAATATCTCATCATATCAAAATCCAAATTATACAAAGATCTTATCTAATTATACAAAGTAAATTAATATCATATTTTTACAATGACTATTGCAACATTAGTCGTTCATTACGATCCAAAAGTTGTATTATTGCCAGAAGCGATATTAACATGATAATTATGTCTTATACTCGTATAGTCATATTAAGTGTTATAGCTAATAATTATTGTGATGTATTTTGATCAATACTTGCATATATTTGTATAATTATGACAAAAAATATGTGTATAATAATTTACCTAAATATGAAATATTTGATTCAATAAAAATTAATTGTATACTGTAAAACGCATGTTTAAAAAATTAAAACATTATGACACGATTTTAAATAGATCGGCAGCTCTCAAATATTTTTTTCGCGTACCATTTAAGTACGTATATTATCAATCAGTCACGTACCACTGATGATTAAAAATAAAACGGTACAAACTTTACATAGTTAAATACATTTATTTTAAATAAAAATTCAGTAAAATACTAAAATATAATTATTATTTATTTATTAATACAAATTTATTAATGTTTAAAAATTAAGATATGAATTAAATAACAAATTTTCAATGAGAACCATGAATTTTTAAATTTGATATTAGCGATAATTATATTACCACCATGCGGCCTTTTGCGTACCACCATGTAATCTTTTGCGTACCACTAGTGGTACGCGTACTACAGTTTGAGAACCGCTGAAATAGATTGTATGAAAGAAAAACAGATGATTTATTTTATTTTAATATACAAAGAAAAAATAAAATATCTTGTATAATATAAAAATCAAGGAATTTATTTGGCTTTAAAATTAAATCTAAAATCCAAAATGATATAACAATATGTTTTAAGTTATTAACAGTTTCAATAAAAATATAACGTTACTTAAATAAATATTTTATTTTTAAAATAAGCAAAAAGTATTGTAAAATTATATTACCAATTGATAACGATGATTTTTTATTTTATTTAATGAAGAATTCTTAACATAACTCTCTGTACGATCAAATATAATTTAAATTCTATTTTTATACAGAAAGTATTAAAATTAATAAATAGCAGTTATGAAGCTGCAATAGTCTGTAATAATAAATATTTATGGTTTTTTTTTCTTTCAAAAAAAAAAAAAAAAAACTTTAGAATAAGTCCTCATGTGACATATTGTAGCTCACAATTCACACAATAAATTCAAACAACTGTGGTTGTTTTGAAAAATATGTAAAAAACAAATCCAATTTCAAAATGTTTCCAAACAAAAGTCCAATAATTCTAAATAAAAAATAAATTTTACACTTATAAAAATAAAATTTATTTTGAATATTATATTATACTAGAACATTAGGTATACTTTTAAGTACTTTTTAGTACTTTTAAGTACTAAGAATACTTGCATATGTTTTATAATATATTTTAATCACAAGATATGTTTTTGACTAAAAATTAATTAATGATTGCAAATCAAAACTAGCATTTATTTGAATAAAAAAATCTATTGTTAAAGGTGAAAATAGAATTAAAGTTATAGCTTGTAGAATTTAGATCACTCGTCTTCCTTTTATAATATTTGTAAAGGTTATAATAAAGGTCTATTGTTTTTATAAATTTGATTGCATTGAAAAATCATTAAATAAAAAAACCCACTATGAAAAAATTCGATTCAACATAGTATTTTTAGATATTTTTACCGTTATAAGGTGATTTGAGATATACATTATTATTTTTTTTAAATTAAATTGTTTTTATCCATGGCTATTTATAACCAAGGATATTTATAATAGTACATTTCCAACTATTTGATCATGATAATAATAAAAGTGAAATAAAAATTAATACTTAGTAGTTATCTACAAGAAACCAATGATGAAGAATCTACCGATTAGTCATGTAATAATAAGTTGTAACAATGTAGAAATTAAATATTAATTAAAAATTATATAAAAACATTTAAATAGACATTTACAAGTTTTAATAGATGTAACAAATAAATATATTTTGTGTAGTTAACTAAGAATGCCGTACGGACGACCACATTAAACTACATTGGGGTAGAAACATGAAAATTCTAATACATTGAACCAGATGAGTTAAACTGTGAGAAATAAAATATTTTGGTTAGGGTTTTTATGTAGTCTTGAATTTCTTGGATTTGGAAGTTTTTATGTATGTTTACATTCCTAATTCACCGGAACACATCTTTTATTATTCGTAGTATTTTCTTTTGGAAGATTTAAATTTTGTTGAGGTAAGAAGTTGCACATTTACCTCAGACCGGAGAAGCGTAAGTTAGTAATGAACGTAATATTTGTTTATATATAAGAAAGTGAATTTTTTTTTTACTGTAGATATTTTATTAAGATATGGTATAACATGGCTAGGCACTAGTATGCTTGTTGAAGTCTGGATGAAATATGGAGATGCCATGTTAGCCGCTTGTCCTGTGTTAAGCCAAGATATTTTACTGACAGTTGCCAAGGTGTGTTTTCGTCGTTAAATATTAATTGTGTGAAGGGATTATAATGACAAAGACTGAAAATAATTCCTATGCTTTTTGACGCATTAATTTTGATCCATCATTTTTTACACCAGTAAAATAATTTTTCATAATGGGCTTACAGATTTGTGATTAACGCTTCGATGTTGCATGATTTGGTAAACATTTGTGTGTCATCCAAGAAGAAAGCTAATTCATTCAAATTAACTTGAGGATGTCATGGATGTAGATGTTGATAGAACCAAGTTTAGAGTCCTAATGTAAACCAGCAGATACAGATTTAAGGTCAGAAGTGTAATCATTTATTTTTACGGAAAACTGCCAGTTTAATTAAAATTAAATAATTTATATCCTTTTTTATAATTTTTTTCTAAATCGGAAATGACAAGTTTTGTGTCAGTATATGGAGAAGAAATGGTATCGATTTTTTGGTTAAGTTCTTGGTTTCTGTTATTTTCCATAGGTTAGATTTTCCCGGGTGCATGTTAGATAAAAAAACTATTGTACGAGAATACACGGTCATTTTTTAGAGCTAATTGGACTTTTTTTGTAAGTAAATTTAGTTTTTTTTTTTTTATCAGTAAGATTTTTATGGTTTTACTAAGTGTGCCTAGCGATATATTATGTTAAATAAGTAAAAAAAACCGCCTAGTAAAGAGACAGAACTGTGTAGATTTTTTGATACGGGATTTTAGCAGGTCAGCATGGCCAGCCTCTGTTATGACGTTTGTAAAATGTTCAGCTATTTGTTCTAAAAATTGAGTTGTAGATAAAATATTTATTGATATTTTTAAATTTGATTGAATAAGGTCATAAAATGTATTCCAGTCTAAATTACCATCAAATAGTGAATTTTTTTTTTTCTTTTTTTTCATAGATTTGTGCTTATTGTAATTATTATTGGTATTTGATCCTTGTCAAATTCTACAAAGGTTTCTTAAACAAAAAATAATGGAACTGATTTAATTACATATCTAAGATGTTGAGTTCTCTATTAACATCGGAAGGGAAATAAGTAGAGGGGCATGTATAGAATATGGAGTATTAGCTATAAATTATTGTAATTTAATGCCGTTTTGATTAATGACCCGACAACCCCAGTTAATATATACTTAGCTTTCAAATTACCTGTCAATATAACTGAATTATCTAGACTCATTATTTTTTCATAATCTATTTTTTTTTTTTTTAATTTGATGACTGAGAGGTTAATAAGCACTGACAAAAACAGCATATTTATTATTTAGTTTATTTAGCATTGTTACGGCTTTAGGCTCTACAGCCGACAGAACAAGTTTGAATATTTGTTGTTGTTTAATTTTATCACAAAAAGAATGGCATCTGCGTCCACAGCTCATAAATTAATAATTCGGTCAACGAGGTAAATTTTATAAAATAATTAATTTTTAAGGATTTCTTTAGTTAATTGAATAAAATAAATAATTATACATTATAAAATAGTAAACATAACATTTACATAACTCTTAAAATACATTTCATATTTTATTGTTGTACACTTAAGTGCTTGCATGTCAACAAAAGTGTCTTCATTACTTAAAATTGGAAAAATCTTTTTGTTGCTAAAAACTTTAATTTGGTTTCGTATTATGCGAGCTTAACTTTTTTTTTCGTTCCGCTAAAATTAAACGAGACATTTCGTTATCATAAGATTGATATCATGTTGATAATGTGATTTCTGGCTTAATGAGATGCTTGATAATTATAGCTTAAAAGCAAATTAAAATGACTAGAGTTTTTTTTTTTTACTTTTTACGGTTTGCTTTTTTTTTTTGTTAGACTATAATAGTAATGCATTTAAGATGATAAAATAAAGCATTCAGTAATCCGAAAAATTTTAAAAAAATTGTAGGATACCTAATAAGAAATTAACATTTGACACATAGATAACTGTGCGATACGCGTTTGCTTTTATGACGTTTTAGTTTTTACAAAATTTAAATTTAAAAAAAGGTAGGCATGCAGATACCAATCGGTTGTACATTAGATGTCGAGTGGGTCACTATTATGGGCATGTTTTAACAAATGATAATTATTATTTATTTAATTATTAAAATAATATATAAACCTTTTAATAATTTAAACAACTCAAAACTTAATAACACTTTTCTCTAAATAACGTAGAATACAAAAAATAGATTCTTAGTATAAATAGATAATAATATAGTGAAATAAATCGAAAAAATCATTTCGTATAGCAAAATTCATAATAATATGAAATACTTAAAATTTTTGAGTATTATTAAGTATAAATTATTTTAATTATCCATCTCATGAAATATTTATATATAATACATTTATACGACAAAAGAAAATAAGTTTGTATTTGGGTTCAAATATCAATTAAATATTTTTAGTAATATTTAAAATCTATTTAGAAAGATATATAATTTATTAAGTATTTATAGGTTAATGATATAGAATTAAATCTTAAATTATTGATGCAGTGTACCAAAAACATTTAACTTATAGATATTGTCACCCATAAATTCTATAAAAATAGATTTTAGCTAATTATATACACTTCGTTGAATTAAAATACGCCAAATAGCTACACAGGTTGTCACTTTTTGTTTTAAAATTATCACTTGTCATTTATCATTTTTTATCCGTTTATTAATTATTCAATATATTTATTATTAATATAGTCATTTATAATAGGTATTTTTTATATGATGTTTAAATTTTTTTGGGTTTTATTTAAAAACAACATTTTAAAGCGTTTTTTATTTTATTTTTTTAATCATTGTTAAAATTACAGTTTATACTGATAATTTGAATAAATTATAGCAATAAATAAAAAGTATATTCATTTAATGATAAACATTTTTTTGAATAAATTTAATACCAAAAAATAATTATTAAATTTAATATTTTTAACCATCCAAAAATATAAAATAGCATTGTACCAATTTCATAGTCTTTACATTTTTTTTTTATCCTAGATGCTCAAGGTTTATTATTATTATTTATCTTTAGTAGTAAGTTATAACTGTAAGCTATTTTTAATCATTACAATATTTTTATCAATCGATTAACGGATAAAAAATAAAAACACTTAGATTATCATACAATAATTATACATAAAAATAGAATATAAATATCAGATATTTATAAGTTGATTATTTTAAAAGTGATCTTGTGAAGAAACAATTTAGGTTTATTATATTGTATAAATTACATAATTTTTATTTAAATATGACTATTCATATAAAAAATTAATTTACTGATAAAACGAATAATTATTTAATATTATCAAACACATAATTTTTGTTTCTGAATCATGAACATACAAACAATTTTTTTTTTTTTTTACTTATAAAATCACATCTTTTATATACCCTTCAAATGAGAAATAATAATATATTAACATTTTGGATAAACACTAAAAATAACTGCAGTATTGATATAAGTCATATACTTACTTCCATTTAAAAATTATCTTTTATTGAGATAACTAAAATTGGTTTTAAAAATATTGGGCAAAGACAGAAAATTGTTAAATGCGAAAATATTTTGTTTCGTTTAATAGAGATTACTAAAATCTAGTAAAATTGTCGGTTTCAATTAAGTTTTTATTTGACATTAAAAACTTCTATTTTTCATTACAAAACCTGAAATGAAATTTAACAAAATAATTTATAAACTTAAACGAAAAAGCTCTTTCAATTAACAAGTTTATATTTTGAAAGGTATGAGTGATATGACTATATCATGCTGTGGGTACTATAAGGTACTACTTAGAAGTAAGCTTAACTTTATAAATTAAAATGTAATTTTCCTGATAAAAATGAGTATAAAACACCTATAAAAATCATTTCTTTTCTAAAAACGGTGATGTATAGCATAGTAAACTACATAGGAATATACACACTTCTTTAACAAAAATAATAATTTATTTTTATAAGCCAAGAGTTAGCCTTAGTAATTATAGCTTTAATATAAAATAGCTATATGTGGTTTTGAATCATCAATTTATAGTTTTACAACAATAATCATCATACATTTTTATAAGTCCTTTTTTAAATAAAAACTATTTTATATTTCAAGATACGAATAATGTAGGGCACAACTTGGTTTAACGATTGTATCATACTTCTTATGCGTATGCATTTTATTTTATTTGGAATAAAACATTTTGAATATAGATTGTTCAATATACAATCATTCAAGCTGAACGATAAAAAATATTTTTATTAGTTATTTTTCAATATTTCTCTTTGATAGTTTGTGTTTTATAACGATTTTTCGTAGTCACGGACGATTAATGTGCACTGACGTAAACGAAATTGTCAATCGAATTTATGACACTTCACACCCTCTCAGACACATACATTATATCTCCTAGAGTCCAAGAACTTGTTTGATTGACGATTGTGACAAACAATTTTTATTGAAGTACACGTATATTTTATTTTCTCATATAAGGTAAAATTACATGTACATATTTATAGTATCTTACCACATGTAGTACAACGATTTACAAAGTCTTCCACGATAAATCCTATTATTTAAATTTTTGAAATCAATACCAAATATAATATTACTTAATGTATTTTAATATATTATATATATTATATATATATATATATATACACATTGAACCAACTACAGTTGATAATAGTATTATGAAATATGACATATCTACTTCCTTTTCCAAGGACACAAATGATTATTTTTGCTGCAACTATAGTAAAAGAATCATTCAAAAATAAATATTATAAAAATAAAAACAGTAGAGTTATATTTAAACGGTTATATAACATTTACAATAAGAGAGTCAACCATTTATACTAAGTAATCTTTTTTATTATTAATAAGCACACGTATCATATCTCAAAGTACCGTGATAATTCTAGAAAATATTTCTTTATAAGAATTTTTAAATTTATAAAAGTTTTTAAAAAATGTTTTTTTTTTATAGTTTTTATTATTATTTTTTTTTTTATTCAAACTAATAGATATATATTTAATTAATTGTGAATATTTGAAGTTTCTAGAAACAATGGTAGCCTATAATATTTTGACATATTCTCTGCTCGTTTAAAGTATAAACACTATCTATATCTAATGGAATTACTTTAAAGCGACTGACGCTCTAGTATTTTTAACGAAAAAAATAACATATAATACCTTGACAAAAGAGGTTATGATGGAATGCGTTGACTTAAAATATTAATAGAAATAAAAAACATTTTTATTTTACAATTTTTTTTTTTATAACTAAATTATACTAAATTTATTTTTATTTTTCAAATGGAAAAATTACTTAACTCTGGTAACTTATCAATATGTATGTTATTTTCAACATAAAGTTACCCTAAACCACTAAATAGCTTATGTTGCATTATCGATATTATCCTCCATGTTTTCAACCTTTTAACCTTTCAATAATATATTTCAAAACATTTTTAATAACCATAATTTATGATTTTAAGGAATCTTTATAAGCGCTTAAAAAGTCTTGAAAGTAATTAATCATACGATACATTAATTTTCACGAATACCTAGTAAATATTTATTTATTTTTTAAATTAAATAAAATTGTTCACTAATCATAACTTTATTTATTAATAATACGATATAAATTAAATAATTAGGTACCTATCTTATGAATTTAAATAGTAAGTGTTTAGTAAATTTTATACTTTCTTTCAAGTTAACTTACAAAAAGTGTTAAGTAATTTATACACCTTGGAATTTACAAACTTGCTTTCTGATAAAAATTTTCGTTTATATCAATAATAATAGTATAAAATAAATTCAATAATTTTTATTTTCTAGTTTTCCTGATTTATTTTAAGGTTCTAAAATATCTTTACAATTTAAATTTCATGATAATAGAATATGATAATGATGGTTATAGTTTTTTTTTAATAACTCACACTTTTCAAGTACACCGTAAAACGTATTATTAATAATAATTTGCAAATTATCATTTCTGAATCATAAATCATCGATACAATAATTATATTATATTAAAGCTGTCTATATTATTTATTTTTACTATCATATGAAACAACACAAAAATATCATAAATTTTTGAAGCTTAAAAAAATATAGATAATAACCAATACCGTGTTAATAACGTTATCGAAATTACTTATTAAATATCCATTAAAAATAATGGTACATTTATAAAATGTATAAAAAAAATCAATACAGTGAATACAGCCTAAACCTCCCCAAGCTTCAATATATTTGTGTTTATTATGCTACTAACATAACGAATTAAATATTAAAAAAAAATCATCGTGTTACTCACGGACGGTGCAGTATGAAAGTTTCAAATAATCTATTCACCGGTGTCGAACTGACTTTAATGGGTATTCACGTGGCGGGGAAAGAGTTTCCAAAAACACA